GGAGCCGGGCGAGGCGCGGCGATTGGCGGCGGCGCTGACAGCGGGCGGGGCGGCGGCGGCGGCACCGCCCACCCCCCGCTATAAGCCTCTTTGCCGCTTTCTCACTGGGTCTCATTTTCGCTTCGTGCGTTGCTGTGGCTGCGCAGTGGAAATCCGCACCGGGGAGCTGCTGAGGGGCGCCGTTGTCATGTGAAAGCGCACATGCTCTGCCATCCACGCGGCACCCCCCTCTCTTCTGCCTCCGCGTGTTTTTGCTGTTTTTTTCTAACGTAACTCCTTTCCTCCTCCTCCCGTGCTCAGCCCCTCGCCGCCGCTCGGCCGCCCAGGCGCCCCCCGCAGAGGCTGCGCCGCGGGCAGTCGCGGGGCGGCCGCCCCGGAGCAGCGCGCCCGGCGGCGGGGAGCCCGCGGAGCCGCGCCCCGCGGAGCCGCCCCGGAGGTATGGTTTTCTCGGCGGAGCAGAGCTGCGGCCGCTGCCACCTTCGCGGGTGTTGAGACGGGATTTGTGCGGTGCGGTTCCTGGGCTCCTAGCTTCATGACTGCGCGGAGCGGGGAACCAACACCATGCGAGGTAAGCGGGCCGGGGGGCGGCTCTCTTTTGGGAAACCTTTTGGGGAACGGGCTGGAAAAGAGCCTTCGTACTCGGGGAGAGGGTCCGGGGGAGAAAGTTGATGGGTCTTGCCCGCCCGCCGGCGTGGCTACTGACGGTGTGATTCCTGCACCCGCGGGGGCCTCGACCCAGACCGAGGAGCCTTCCGCGGCAGATGGTGGGCGGACACCCCTCGCGTACTGTCCCGGGGAGCCCAGCGCCGCGCTGGCCCGTGGCGGGCAGGCAGAAGGGAGGCTCAGGCTGTTGGCAGTGTCTGTGCCATGAGGTCCCCACCTGCAGCTGCCCGCGGGGCGCGGCAGGTGTCCCGTACGGCGGAACCCGCTGCCGCTTGGTCCCGGGTCGCTGCCAGCACGGAGAGGGTCTCCCCCCTTTTCTCCCCAAAAGTTATCTGGACTTTGTTCCCCAACCGACACCGTCGCCTGGAGGCCCCCGTTCCCCATGGGTTGCTAATTGGGCCGCAAGGCTTGCGCTGCCCGGGGGCCCTCTCCCCGTGCCCGCAGGTCACTTCGGGTCCCCGAGCCTGTGCTGCCTGCGCAGTCCGATCGTGGAGTACGGGGGAGATTCCTCCGGGGCTTGCAGCCGCACTCGGTGAGGGTCCCGCCAGAGCACAGAGTATCGTCACCGACGGGACACTCTCAGGCATGGAGAGCTGTCTGTCCAGTTCGGCTGGAGAGAGGCTTTGTGCTGGCACGCCGGGCACCCGAGTGGGGGGTGTGTAGGGTTGCGGAGCACATGGGAATGCGTTATTTCCGTGTCTCCCAGGACCAGGTTCCCCTGGGCCCCATCCCCGAGCCAGCCGAGCACCGGCACCGGGGCAAGAACAATCCCTGTCAGCCTCGGGCGTCCGTGGGCTTTACGCAGCTCCTCCGCCCCCCATCTTCCACCTTGCCCTTTGTCACCCAGTTTGGCAGAGAGGTTGCTTGCCTCACCCATGGCTTGGTAAAAGCCACAAAAAGTAGTCTCTACGGGGGTATTGGAACGGAGGAGAAGAGCTTATGGGGGTGGGACGCGCTCGGGGTTGACAGCGGCACTACGTGCAGATTCTTGATCTTCCGTTTAAGGATAGGACACAACACGCGTACTATAAAGAACTTTTAGCTAGAATTTCAGCTTGTTTGATGTCATCTCCTGTAACAGCATGTGTTAACAGTGCTAACAAACCACTCGTGTGTAATTGGCTTTAAAAGAATTGTAGCTATGACATTTGCACAGATCGACTTAAAAAAGACCTTTTCCCCCTGCCTTCTTTGTTAGGGTGTTGGTTGTGGGGCATCTGGCAAGAACTTGCTAAACGGTGTTTGTTTTTCTTAAGAGCAACAGGAAACAAGGGAAAACACTCAATTCTGTAAAGTAGCCCCTGTTCCAGCTTTGCAGCTTGGTTGGAGGTTTTCTATTTGTTTGAGTATGGGGTTTTGTGGGTTTTAGTATTGTTTGTGGTTTTTGTTTGGGTTTTTTCGGTCCTTGTTTTTCTGCGCACCAGAGCGCATCCAATTTGAGTAAAGCTGGTCATTGTCTCAAGGGGTTATTTTTCAAAACGTGCCCATCCAGTGACCCCTGGTCAGGAGCCCCAGCTCCCCGTTCTATGGGCAGTTCATCCTCACAACCCGTGGCTCCCACCTCTCCTCCCCTGCTCTGGGGTGGCCTGTGCAAAGGTGAGGAGTAATGTCCAGCCTCTCCTCAGAGGCTTTCCTTCTAAACAAGGCCCAGAGTGGTCTAGCTGTGCTGGGCAGGTAGAGGAAGGCAGATCTTGCTACACATGTTGTTGCATCTCCAGCAGGATCTGCCCCAGCTCCGTAGTCATCTCTGCCACCCCTTTAGCTGTGCTGTCAGCCACTGTGAAGAGGTGCAGCTCTGCCCCTAGAATGCAAATTAGTATTTGCTTTGTATTTATGCTTACTCAATAGGGAATTTACAGGTGTGGGAAAAAGGGCTGGAATGGATGAAAGAGAAAGACAAACGGGCAACTTCCGTTCTTGTTTGAAACTTACATGCAAGAGGTCGGTAAAATGAAGTTTCACAACAGGTGTGTGTCAAGGCAAGAGCAGTGGTTCATACCACCGCAATTAAAAAGGAGCATTACGCATTGATTGAGCATCTTTGCGGCTTTCCAAATAATGGAAATAAACAAGTGTCACAGTTCAGATTGTGAGCTCCCATGAACTGGCGCTTTTAGAGAGCTCTGAGCCTTCTTGTAAGGTGTAGTTGTTTTCAACTGTATTTGCAGTTGGTTTGAAGGAGGAAGCACTCAGGCTTGAACACGTGAGCTGTTCCCCCAAACTTTCCCAGCTGAGCTGTGATCCTTCCAAGCTGCAGTTGATGCAGTTAGCACAACATACATAGAATGTTCAGGGGCTGCTCCACGTTGGAGATGGAGGCAAAAAAGTGCCTGAAAATGCCCAACCTGTGTTACTGCCTGCTGAATCCCAAAGCACTGGACAGTCACATAGACTGTCAGTTGTCCCATCCCGTGGAAGCCAAGCTAAAGTTTTCAGCTGTTGTTACAGTCATTGGTGATCTTCTATCCAAAATAATAAGTTTCTGCACTTCAAATCTTGATTTCAATCCCATGAAGGATATGTAGCCATACTGAATTGCAGCAGAACAATATACAGGACACTGAGCATTTGTTGATATGGAAGGTCCAGATATTTCCCTCTGAATGGAAAATGGAATTTTTATGGAGTTGATGACTTTTATACCAGTATTTTATAGAAGCAAACACAGGTGTAAAAGAAGTTTACAGTGAGCATTCATCACAGTCTTCCTTCCATCTGTCCCACTCCTGACAACATCCTGTGAAGGAGTTAAGAACATAGAATGTGTGCTTCAGTATACTTTTTAGAAAAAGAGAACAGAAAAAGCACTAAAATTATTGTGCTATTTAACTGAAAAAGAAGACTTACACTTTTCCTTGTAGTTTATTTCTTAGTAAAATGATTTGTAAAGTTTAAAGCTATTAAAAGTTAGTCAATTCTGTGTATAATGCAGCTGTTACTCAAACGTGGAAGGTTGACTGTGGCAAAAAAAACATCAAAATATCTACTTTTATCTGGGAATATGCTACTCATGCACATACAAAAGTCAATTTTGTGATTGCATCTATTTGAGTTGTGAAAGTGGCATTAGTACACAAGTACTCCACTTATTACAAAAGTAATATTTAAACTTTTAGTTGAAAATCTTACTAAAAGCTTTTTTTGTTACATTTTAAAGAAAAAAGCACCACAACCCCCTGAGACCAAGTTATTTAAGTGAGTTTTCTGTGTAGTTTTTTCTTGTTGGTATCAGGATGAGCAATAACGCATGTTGCGTGATGTTATGTAGTTACTCCATTCTCTTAGCATGACTGAAATATTTGTAAGAAATTGGAAAAGTGATCAGACAAATTCTGTATGAAGTATTTCTAAGCGAGCTTATTATGTAACACATACAAAAAGACTGGCTGGCTTAGAAGTTCTCCTTAATTGAGTAGATGAGTGCAGGTAATCTTTATAGACTCATTAGCTTCAAAGGAAAATTATTTTGCAGTTTATTCCAGGAAAAGTAAATATGTCTCTATTTGTAATATGTAACATTAATTTTCTAAAACACATTGATTGCATTGAGTATATAAAGAAAGGACTTGGGGCCTTACCCCACCATTGTAAAACCGATTTGTCCTCAAAGTGTAGTGCATCTAGCACCTCCTTAATTGAATCAGGTTATTTGACTTCTTTGGGACTCCTTGATATGTAGTAAAGCACAAGTTTCTGGTGTTAGGTGTTCGCAGGTAAAATTTAATAAATTTAGGAAATGCTTTGAAAAGCATGAGTCAGTAGTAAACTGTGTCGCACAGTAAAAAATACAGATGTATGTAGTCAATAAACAGTGACACCCCTCTAGATTGAACAAAAATAAAAGGGAAAGCATGAGTGCCCATTTGTACCTCAGCAATACTTTTACTTTGCATTAGATCATACTTACATTCCATGCAGTATCTTCCATTTATCTCTAATTGTAATATGCTACAGAATTGGGGATCAAAGGAGAGTACATAATGAAAGTTCATCACTAGATAACTATATTATTTAATGGCATATAGATTTATATAAGAATTTTTTCATAATATAATTTTTTTTAAGTTACATTTGTTTTTCATACATGGAAATCTGGTGACAGTTAATTTAAAAACTGCAAAAAATACCATGTGCACTGGCTGACAATAAATTCTCTTTTGTGTTATGGAAAATATCTGACTTCCACTGTTGGTCTTCTACAAATCCAGTGGCAAGCAGTAAGCTGGTATGATTTGTCTAATTTGACAGTGCAGTAGTAAAGGTCATTTAAATTGTGTATTATGGTTAAAAACTATTTATGGTATTTGAGGAGTGAATCTATCAGGAAAAAAATTTTCTGAGTAGACAAGAATTCTGGAAGTCATAATTCCTGTTTAAAATTAACTTGTGGTAATTTGTGGAAAGTCTTTAGGGTGCTATGGAAGGGATGGCTGTAAATCATAGTGATGTTTGCCTCCTCAAAAGAATGCAGGTAAGGTATACCTTCAACAGTACTGAGTTTTATTAAACAATTTCACGACTCAGAGTCTGCTGTAGTGTGCACACTGGTTACCTGATACAGGAAAACAGTTCAAGGGGGTGAAAGATTCCCAAGTTATCCAAGAAATTCCTACCTCACAAGCGGTGCAGTGTGTTCCCAGAAATTAAGGTCTGCACTGCAAAATAGAAGAATGTGTGCTTTGTAGCTGAGGATGCACACAGGAGTAAATATTGATTGAACTAATAATCTGGTGAATAGAAATGAGCTTTATCAGTACAGCTGTATAGTGGCTTACGTTAACTAGCTGTTTTGTAGTCCATACCCTGCCCTTTCAACCCATGACCCTGTCAATTTTGCTTTTAATGAACAAAATCACAGGTGTTACATTTATGGCAAATTGTGCTAAATATATTAGTTGTTCCAGT